AATGATTACATGCAGTATTCTACCATATGCAAACTTATATCATTAAAAGATTATACTGACTACTAAGTACAATTTTCTATTGACAGATAGGGAGTCAGATTGATAAAGAATGTAGTCTACAAGTAGGATCAATAAAAGGCTTGTGGCTTCTAATGCATGAACACACAATCACTCTTTTTGCTAAGCATCAAAAGAATATTCTTAATGCTAATTTAATGCAAATTAGTTTTTGCACATTACACCTAAACCTCTTCAGAGCATAATTACAGAGGTGGAAAACAGATGCATGGAGCAAGATTTCAGGAACAGGAACCAAATTTACATTATAGCCACAGAGAAATCTGCCTGGAAAATCTCACTTTAACATCTTGAACCGTGACTCTGTGATGGGAATTGCTGAGCACCCAGGAGCTCATGATCACAATAAAAATAAATCCAGCTTAAAGGTCGTTTCACTTACATTTTAGCTCATTTTACAGCTTGAAAAGTTCACTCACTTCAGTGTCACATGTCTTGTTCTCTCACCTGGAGGCCGAGGCCCGGCCCGGGAGCGAAGCTCTTCACGCCGAGCGTAACCGAGAGGTTTCTGGGCGGGGTCCAGCTGAGGCCGTCATCCCGGCTCTCCACCATCATGATGCTGGCCGGGCTACAGTGGTAGTGGTGGAAGCACACTGAGTAGATCAGAATCACTGAGCCCACTTCCTCGTCCACCACAACAGAGCCCAGGTTTATTCCATCCGGTGCCGCCCCGTCATCGATAATAAAGGTGGTCGGGGACCAGGTGCCTCCTAGAGAGATGATAGAGGAAGAGGAGGAGATGAAGCAGAGAAAACGTGACCTGTTTTTTGTGCTTTTGTGATTTTTACTTTTATTTCAAGGCTCAGTCAGCAGAATTTATATCATCAGTCTGTTTGAACACTGCGTAGAACTCGTTGATCCAGTTTCAAGGTATGAAATGTTAAAAAAAAAAAAAATTGGTAAATATAAATAAAACCAAACATCTACTCAAAATATCAATTATGGTTGATGCTAACAATGACATACACTCCCAGACATTCATTCAGAAGCGATAAACTCTCCTCATTTGCGCCCATGTGACTGCTGACTGTTTTCTGACACACTGTAAGTTTTGTGTGACTGTCTATCTCTTGCAGTGGTCTTGCCTTTGTCTGTGGAGCGCCGCAAAGCAAAGAATTTCGCTCCAATGTCAGAAGAAGAAGACTTCCTGGCTTCTGCAAACGCCAGCAGGCTTCCTTTGGGGGTGAAGGTGAGCAGCGGGATCCTGTAAGTGTTCACCTGACCCTGGGCTCCGCTCACCCACAGCAGCTGCTCCTCAAACACCAGGGGGTCGATCTGAACAGCGGGGAGAAGGGAAGGTAAAAGAGAGGGAAGAGATATTTGTGAATTATCTGTAGGCAGGAGCATTTTCAGCATGCTTCAGGTGTCATGTAACAGACAAACATGTGATCTGGCTTTGAGTTCAGGAAATGAAAAGAAAATCAGGTGATCTTGCTTTTCCTTTAAGGAAGCGATTTTGTGTCCTTCAGCCACTAGAAACTATTATCAAAGGTCTAAAGTGGCATCCTGGCACCTAAAATAAATAAATAATTCAACCTGATAGGTAATCTGGTACAGAATAGTCTAAATCAGTTCATTTTTCATGTGGTGCAGCCTGACAGTCCTTTCAGCTATGACTATGAAGGCAATTAAAGTCATCACATGGCCCTGTCGTGCACCAACTCCACTGAAGCGAGGAGCTTCCTCCTTCTGTTTTTTTAATATGTCAAGTAAGTTAAATTCAACATTTCAAACATCTCAACTTCTATCACCAAAAACACAAACTGTTTCTGTGCAGTTTGAATATTAATACATCTGTTAGCTAAGGGTAGAGCTGCAGTATTTTCCAGGAGCACAAAAGTGAATATGATTTCACACTGACAGACAGGTCAGGAGAAGATGAGAGATTATTTTGAAGGGTAAAGACTGTAACAGATAAGGCGACAGAATAGGCGACAAAGAAACTCAACTACTGCACAAACACAGAAAACTTCAAGTTCCCCCAACTGCCAAATCCCACTTTAACCCCTGGTTATATCCACTGTTGGGTTGCTTGCCTTTAGATTACTCTCCACCCAGAAAACAACCGCGCTAAACTAGATAAGTGATGGATGATGATTTTACTACAGTCATTGAACATCTTTGCACTGTTTTATCTCTGAAGCAGGAAATATATAATATTATTTTTCTTTTATATATTCTTATTGTTATATGGTTGCGCGTTATATGACCTGAATGAAAGTAAAGT